ATATGAAGAAAAGGAGTCGTTATTATGCTAATCTTAATCTATGCTATGCTACTTTGGGATGCAAATCGTGGAGAGACTTCAGCGAGACAAGATACTTCATTTGACAAGCCTTTGCACGTCAAACGAATCCTAAGAACCTTTTCTTTAAATAATTAGAAACTAATGCAAGTTTGAATTTGTTGTCTTACATTGTTATATAGAAAAGAATGAGGGGCAAGGAAATATAAACGCTACTAGCCTGATAAACGCTGTGTTGCGAGGACCATTGACGTCAATTAAGTGAGCGTCTTCAAAGGTCCGTCAACTGCGGTTATTATCGGCAGACATAAAAATATTTGTAAATAATTCTAATTTAAAAAAAATTTAAAAACAAAAATATTGGCAAGAATTTAAATTAATGTTAATTATTAGTGACAGTAATTGATATATATTTTAATTAACGACACAAAGTAGGGTTTTTAACACATTCCAAGTGCATGGATCGCTTCCTGTTGGACTTATCAGAGGGCAATTAAAACATTTAAAACATAAAATGACAGATAAATAGCCCCAATCAGTATAACATAGACAATTATTCACTGTCCCCTGTCCAACCTTGGTAGTTTGCCATCTTGACACAGTCTGTTCAAAGAGAGTGTGTGTCCTGTGATACCTGGAAGTTGAATCAGTGGAAGTTGAACGGTGTATTTGAAAAACCTCCCCTTAAATGCAGGTTTCTTTTTTCGAAAATAGTGACAGAGTAATGGTGAGTGTCAGGAAAGGAAGATTAAAGGTTGGTAAATTGGGGGAAAAATGTCATTTATTGCAGGATAATTTTTTTTTCGAGGCAGAATGTGAACAGAGTCATAAATAGAAAGACTGTTTTTAAATCTGGTTTTATAATGCAAACTTTGAACATAACAACACTAAAAGGAATAAAGCTGCACCATTTGATTTGGTAATTATTATATAAAAAGGCCTATAATTTAAGCAGGCAGTGGTCACCCAAATTTTATATGCTTGTTTAATTGTTATGTTTTTGCATAGTGTTGTGAGTTCATGCTGGCATTTATGTACTGACCTTTGTACCATATTGACAGGGAGCAACCAGTGTACTGTTAGATCATTGTCATATAAAACAGTGCAGTTTTCTATACTGTACCAGTTTGACAGGTCCTAACATATATTTACCATGCCTAAGGGGGTGGGGATTATCTCTTTTATAAGCCCCAATGTGACAATCTAAACTAATCTGGTCTTTTAGAAGGGTAAGTAGATATCAAAACCCAGTGGTGCTCACTCAAATGAGATTAGTGTTTCTTTAGTATTTTATTTTGCTTTACTTAGACCTCATTCCCACATATTTTAGATCGATCTATCCCTGTGGAGAGTCTCACAAGATTACTGTCAGCTCAGCCGGCTTAGTTAAATGTCTGTCCCGCCTACTAAAAGCTGTAAGGGGATAATTAACTGTGTTACACGCTTTGCTGACAGCTATTTAGCGTGAACCCCCAGGGAGTTGGGTCGATTCGGATGGATCGATCTAAAATTCTGGGAATGCACTCTTATAGTGTAACTGGGCATGGCTTCAAGTTAGGTAACTGAAAGGCAGGATTTACTACAATACAAGGGGTCTATCTTAGGGCTTATTCCCAATGAAACTATTGTTCTACATAGATTGATCCAACTCTGTAGGAACTCTCGCTAAATGCAATCAATTAAACAGATTAAAACGCCACCTCTTGTTTCCCAAGCACCTGTATAATCACCAGCTTTTCTGTATTTTACTCAGTGCCAGGAGGCTTGTTAATCTGTTAAACCAACCGCATTTAGGGCGAGAGCATGAACTTTGTTTTTGGTTTTCTTTCCAGGAGCATCCACTACACACCAGTAGCATGTGCCAGTCAAGAAAAAATAGTTCCACCTAAAAAGCCCCCATCTAGTTTTTTAAGTTTCTTAAATGCCAAGAGGTCCGATATCAAAAATGAGAATCCAGGTAAGTGTTCAGTAGTTATGCATGTCCTTGTTCACACCAGTTTCTTAACTCTTTCCATTTAAAGGTAAACTTCTTATTGACTTTTCAGTGCCAGTGTATTTTTGCTCTGGCTGGTGGTTAAGCAGGGCCTCTGGACAAGTATAGATTGTTTTTATTAATTCTTCTTCAAAAGTTGTGAAAATTACAAGATTTGCCCATAAGATTTGATGCAATGTTGTGTGATTAAAATTTATAATTGGAGTTCATAAGTTATTTCTTGTTTCTTATGTAAGTTCCATGATTCTCTTTCAGACATCAAAAACACTGAACTTTCAAAAATTGCTGGTGCAATGTGGAAATCATTGAATACAGATGAGAAAGCAGTAAGTATCCATTCAGAAGTCTGATGTGTTATGAAATTAAGAAAAATAATCTAGCATTTGAATCTTTTCATGAGGATAGTTCCTTCATCATATGGCACAGTTTTGTTTAATTCTCTAACAACACAGTTGTATAGATATGGCATAATACAAAATAACGAATGTCCAAAAAAATTTTGCACATAACGGATTACAAATTTTTTAAATATTATCATTATTTTACTTATCAATTCATTATTTATTTATTGATTGATTTTATTATTAATGTTATTTTTTATTATTAGTAATTATTTATTTTTGTGTTTGTCCTCTAGATGTATGTTAATGCAGCTAAGAAGGAGCTTGATAAGTACCATGATAAGTATGAGGCCTTCATACAGAGTCTGTCTCCGGAGCAAAGAGAGATGTTGGGAGAGCAAGGCAGAACTAGAAAACAGAAACTGGAAAGAAGGAGAACAAAGGCTGTAAGTAAGGGTGTGTCTGTAGTTTCAATGCCCTGCACATGTATATCTGTCACCTAAGTTGATGTAGTTGCTAGAGGGAGTTGTGCACATTCCTCGTAACTTCTTCCAGAAACTATGTGTTTTAATCATTTTGGGGTTAACTGTGACACTAAAATGTAGATGAAATTTTGAAATGTGCACTATCAGATTGTTTTCCTAGATTTTTTTGTCTTTTCTTTCATTGGTAAGATTCCTAGGAATTTGACTTAATTGCAATTGTGGCTACAGAGTGGCTTACCATAATTTGATTTCAGAGCAACTTGTGTTTGGGGTTTTAGTCAAAATGCGTTTCAACAGGAATGGGTCATTCAAATTCCTATTTGATATGTCACATAGTACGTCCTGAGTCTTGTGCCTTTTAGATGCTTCACAAGCTAGAGAAACCTAAGAAGCCTGTGAGTGCATTTCTGCGCTTTGCGGCATCCAAGATGGTGGACCGTGGGGAGGCCCCAGTGCCGCAGTATATGTCTGGATGTGCACAGATGTGGAGGAGAATGCCTGAAGATGATAAACAGGTACATATACATAATGACTAGTAGCTCATATCTGTCTGGTTGAGTGAATGCAAAACAAATAATGGAGGTAATGATTGGAGGTTTCCATGTTTACACACATTCCAGGTTAAAATATCATTGGAATTCGATCTGGCCCGATAAAATTAAATGTAAATTTGTTCAGTTACTGGTCCAATATTTTTGCTGTTTTGACTGGTAGATTGTTAGGTCAGAGGGCAAGTCTCAGAGGGCAAGCAAAAAAGAGTTTAAAAAATGTCCCAGACTTCAATGGCATTGAAGTTTTGCATACATAGAGATGCGGTTGTGATTCTCTTTGTTACAAAATTCATCTTTAGTTATTTCTTGTAGGTGTAAATTTAGATTCTGGGTGATACAACTAGTTTCATGTACAACTAGTTTCATGTAATATTATGCATCTTCCTCCATAGGAATTTAAGAAGGCATATGCTGAAGAAAAGGCAGAATATGAGAAGAACCTTTCTGCATGGGAACAGAAAGTTAGTGCAGAAGGTCACCCAGAGCTCGTGCGAGGTTACTCACAACAATTAAAGAAAGAAAGAAATGCAGCAATTATTGCCAAAAAGCGTGAAAAAATGGCACTTGCCAGAGCAAAAAAACTTCAGAAGGTGGCAGCAGCAAAAGCCAAGAAAAAAGAAAAACTGGCTCAGCAGAGAAAAAGGAAGAAGGAGAAAGCTGAAGCACAAAAGAAAAAGCAACGTAAGAGAGCAGTTACCAGGGTGAAAAAGCTTAAAAAAATAACTAAAGATGAACCTTGAAACTTTTTGTCCTCAGCTTGTAGAGATACCAAGTTATCTCAGCCATGGTCAGAGTAGTCTCACCCAAAGAAAAGACAACTAAAGTGATCAGTCACACATCTCAGAGTATGTTAAGAGATTGTTAAAATGTTGTCTCTGCCAAACACTGCCACTTTTATTTCTTTTGCAAGATAATGCATTCCTCTCTAGATCCATTATTTTCAAGGAAGAGATTAGGGATTGAAGAAACATGGTTTTGGACAAAAATAATTATTCTGGCAAATTCTGTCTGCTTTTTTGTCTTCAAAACTTGGCCATGTAACTCTTTTTGTATTAAGGAATGGATTTGGTTTGATTTGTATGTATACAGACTTGTCTTTCATTTTCTGTTTTATTTTAGTCTAAATAGAAGTTGTGAGACACCTGTCATGTATGTTATTTTCCAGCAATGAGTACTTCTAGCAATATAACTGCAAGTTCATCAGCAGTCAAGTTGACCGAGTGAGTGGAAACTTAAAATTGTCTATTTTAACTTTATATCACATTTAATGCCATCACCTATTGTCAGATATTACACCTTCGATTTGTAGAATAAGTGCAATTTTTGTTTTTAGGAAACCGGAGAAATATCTCATTCGGGGAATTTTATGCTATCAAATTAACAGTGCAAATTTATTGATAGCTTAACCATGTACATGCCTTCAAAACGACGTACCCACTTTCAGTATTAACAAGGGGGGAGGTGGGGAGTAGCTGTTGTGTCAAACAGCACATTGAAAAATTAAGCTAACATTTAAATTACTAGAAAAGCTGGGATTATTTTGATACAGAAATGTTCCTTCTGTCATTGATTTTGAAATAAAATTATTTTCCATAATTGTTGCAATAAACTTAAATAAGCAGTAAATGATCTGGAGTTGCACCTAAGTTTTTTCACCATAAAAAATCACAACCTTAGCATAAAGGCAACTAGGCTATGTTTTAAATGTACTTTTACCTGTCTTTTATATGTAGCATTGGTGTTTTGCTTGTCTGTTTTGAATTTCTTGAAATTTATGAAGGCACTTGTATCTAAATAAACTATTAAATATTTTTTAAAATGTTATAAAAACATTTACTACTGTTAAATTTTACCATATTGCAGTTTGGTGTTGATAGTTATTACATCTTAACATGAATTGTTAGTTTTTTAACATATGAACACCATTCTGTCTGTAAATTAGCCTAGTTGAGATGCAGTTGGCAGGTGCTTGTCTAGTGTACATTGTTACCTTATATAGTATGAAATAGAGATAGAAATGATAGCTTGTGCACTTTGTTACTTGCTGTAACAGATTCCATAGAAAGCAGGTGTGCACATTTTACATTGTAATGGATATATGTATCCACAGAGTAGCTAATGAATAGTGTCGTTTTATTTTAATCTTGAGTATAGGTGATAAAGCTATTACTCTCTGTTTTATGATGTCTGGATTGCTGATTGAAGACACAATTGAAGGTATCATTATCATTATCATTGCTGTTTGGCAATGTACTGTAAATGTTATTAGTTATCCCTTATTTTCATGTGCAATACGGTTTCTGTTGATCTGCCATGAACTGAAGTTCAGTAGTATGTGAACATGGGGTAACAAATATAGCACTTGATGGACAAAAACCTTTATATTTTCCCCTACTTTGTTTGGCTGTTTACAACCAGTGAGCCATCTCTATAATTGGACTGGAGCCTCGGCCTGTTGTCCAGTTTTCAGAACTACAAAAAGTGCTGTATATATGATCTATGAATAGATTTGGAAAAGTTACTGTATTTTTAACCAATCAAATTACAGTTTTCATTCATTGAATAATCAAAATATGTATTACAATGTTTCAGAGGTAGAAAGATCGATGATCAGATAGGCGCACTGAAAGTGAATAACAGAAACCAAAAAGAATGTAAACAGTTCTCTCTGGGAAATACTGTCCTTGCACAAGATTCATTACCACTTAAAGACCGCAGCCTGTTCAGTTGCCACTTCTTGAAAGATGGACATTCTTGGCTGAGCGTTTTGTTACTGGTAGTGGCTCTCTATAGGTTCAGAGATTGGTTTCATTACACACTGCTGACTATATGTGCTGTTAGTTCATAAAGATGGACCATCTGGGATTCACTAAAGCAAGTTTGACCATAAGTTGGTGTTAAAACCCCTGTTACACTGGGCTATCAGCCTCTTGGAGAACAAATGTTGGCCCACTTTCACAAATATATCACAAAGTTAAACCTGCAGTATCTTTTAGTTCACCACTAACAATAATCAATGGATTTAATGTCGACTATCAAATATTGCCGAAGTTCTTTGAAGAAAGAACTAAAAGCATTGAAAAAGCAAAAGTGTGTTCTCCTTGCGGATGCAAGCCTTGCATAACAGTGGCTTGACATTTAAATCCAGGTTTCTCCCACTTCTTAAAGAAATGTCTGAACCAGTCCACCACAAGTAGCTGTTGCTTAAAACATGGGGAAGTGATTTGAGTGGATTCTACACATTTATCTTGGGTCAAAGAACATTAAATCGCAAGTTTAAACAAATGAGACCATATTTAGTTGTTTTGAGAAACTGGTACCTAGATAAGTTCAATTTATTCAAAATATTAAAATTGCAAAAATTCAGCAAGGTCTGGTGCTGTCTGTTGAGATATCATAGATGCATGTGTGCAAAACGTAATAATACTGTATAATTGTCAGAAATGCTTACTTAGGCACTTGATGCTATTATTTACTATTGCTTCATTTCAAGAAGTTTTATATCTAGTTTCACATTACATAATAGTATTAAAAATAAAATGAAACTTGAGAAATGTGGAAGTGTTTTTATTGTTCATTCATTTTGTCTTCTACAAACAATATCCTGTCATAACTTTTAACCATAATAAAAATAAGGCAAGAAATTTTAAAGCTTCCACCCAAAACTTCAAATTATTTCAGTTGTTGATCACTCCAGTTTGCTGTAACACGTTCCCTCAATTGAAGTAAAAGTGACCCGTCCAGCACCCTTAAGTCATCAAAGCAAGAAGACTTTCAACTGCCACTGGAGCTTTTAGAAAATGTCACCAATGGTTCAGTATTCGTCAGGTTTTTTTTTCTCTGCAAATATCATCTTACTGGCCTATATTAAGATGGCAGATTTACTGAAATTAATAATTTGCAAATTTCGGTCAATGTTTTCTTCAAATAATAAAAAGGACATCTTATTTCGATGTGATTTAATTAGAAGGCATCAACAGTGGTGACCAGGACAAACTATAGTGCAAAACTGAAAGTGGACTTTCTCTGAGAAAATGGAGGAAAAAAGCAAAATTCCAAAACTCCAGCCATACAGAAACCCAGAGACATTAGGACCACACTGGACAAGCTGGTTAGATAGTTTTGAGCTTTTTGCTAGCAGGAAAGGGTTGATTGTTTCAGAACCAACAGACGCAACAAATAACGAAAAAAGACATTTAAAAATGCATGCCAGGAGACCCGTGCTTATGTTACTTCGACAGGCACAGATGTACAAGATATTTTCAGGACTCTCCCAAACACGGTGAGAAACATGACTATACATCGGCACTTAACATTTTAAAGTAATATTTTGTACCAAATGTAAACATTTCATGTGCTCAACAGACGTTCCAAGAACCTAAAGAAAATTAAACTACGCAGCATTTTGCTACACATTAAGGATGGCGATCCGAGACTGCGGCTATGGTGACAATCCAGACAAGCACATTCAGAGTGCTCTAATATGGAGATGCCCGCCTAGCTACATTAAACGCCAAGTCTTGGAGGAAGGAGAGGAGTTGACATTAAGGGCAATAGAACTGGCAACTTGATGCGAGCATATTGAGTCACAAATGAAAGGAAATGGAAGCAGAACACTAGAAACAGTGAGTATGGTGAAACTGAAGTCATTAGACAAACCAACTCAGTTCAAATGCCACAAGTTCAGACATAAGCAACAAAGTAAAAAAAAAAAACTCCAACTGAGAAAACGTGTTATGGATATGGAGGTAAGGGACACTTTACCATGACTTAAAATGCCTTGCTAGAGGAAAAACTTGCAATGAGTGTAAGAAGTTGGATCACTTTGCAAGAATTTGCAAAACTAAAACTGTTAATGACAGTTATGACCACGATGAGTCAAGTAGGCCATATGCATTTTGTGTGGGAACCAATGCAATCCACACGGAAGACATGGTGGAAATAGAGACTGGCAGCATGAATTTAAATGTTTTACCAGACTTGGGTTCCTACTTTAATATCATTGATAAAAACACATGGGAAATGCAGAAATCCAACAGAATAAAATGCGACTCTTGTGCAGGACCCCCAAATGAACAGTTATATTCATACACATCTGAGAAACCTTTAGAAGTGAAGGGAACATTTGAATGTGACATCAAGGCAGGCAAAGGAAGTGGCCATGCAGAATTTGTAGTAGTGAAAGGGCACAGGGTGCCACTAATAGGGCACAACACCGCAATGAATCTAGGAATGATGAAAATTGGAATAGATATAACAATAGATTATAACAATATAATATGAGGACTCGCTATATACAGAATTCATTGATGTGTTTTCAGGCCTCAGTTAATTTTAAAGATACTGAGATTACAATACACACAGACCCACCAGTGAAGTCTGTGGTACAACCATTACACAGGACAACACTGAACCAGCAGAAGGACCAACTCTGGGTGAATTCTGTGGTGATTGTACCTAAACCAGGGGGTGATATAAGATGATGCATAGATATGCTTCCTGCGCAATGAGGCTATCATATACCTACTGTTGATGAGGTATTGCAGAGTTTTAATGGCCCAGCTGTATTTTCAGAGCTGGATCTGAAAATGGGATATGATCAGCTTAAATTAGCACCAGAATCGCCCTCCATTACTACGTCTGTGGCTCTTGCTGGACTAAATATGGAGTATCTTCAGCAAGTGAAGTTTTCAAACATAAGATAGCAAATACCCTAGCTGGCATTGAGGGAGGAACCAACATATCTGACAACATAGTAGTGCATGAAGCAGAACAGGAAACATCTACGTCCAGTCCTTGAGAGACTTCAATCCACAAACCTAGGCAGGGATGAACTGGAGTTCTATGGATAAGAATGGGACCTACAGAAGAACACGTGAGAGCCGTAGTGAATGCATGCAAACCCAAAGATATACATGGGTTACGAAAACTTTTGGGGCCTAGCAAATTGCAGTGCAAGACTTACCCAATCCTCATCACCAGTGCTGCTGCCTTCCAATTAAATTGCTCCACAAATTAAATCACTCAGCAAATTGAATCAATTGCAGCACTCCCGCATTTTTTAATATCATACCTCTTAGTCTAGTGGGATTTCCACAAAAGATGAATGGTAGGGGCATTTTGGGGTAAAAGTTGGGAACCAGGCTTATTGGCATAATTTTGGGATGCTGAATCCGATTTACCCGGTTCCCAAGCGAAATTTTGCGTTTTTAACGGTCTTATTTGCAAAAAAACAAAATGGCCGCCAGATTTCCTATTTTCTGCAATATCTCTGGAACTAGACAGGCAAATATTACAAATGAAGTGTCTTTACCTATATTTTCAGGGTCGAGGAACATTATTAAGATGTTTCTGTTAGAATTAGATTTACTCAATTTTCCAAAATATGCAAATTAGGATCGCCATTATTGAAAAACCATTTTACTTCTGTATCTCTGTAACTAGGCAAGCAAACATGACAAATGAAGTGTCTACACCTATGTTCTCAGGGTCAGGGAATGTGATAAATCAGATGTCTTGTCTTTTGGGTAGCACTGACTTTGTGAATCATGTCCGAGTAGCACCTTTTATTGTTTCTTCCCTGTATCTGTCAAACACAAGTCAATCTGCTGATAGTTAGAACCTGCCTTCAGAACTGCTTTTGCGTTAACTAGGCAAGCAAACATGACATATTAAGTGCCCACACCCATGTTTTTAGCATTAGGGAAAGTGATTAAGACATTTTCACTATAATCAAATCAGCAATGAGTGCTACACTGTCACACTGTAGCAATTATTCGAATCTGAATTGAATTTTGCAATTAAATACTGCGCTGCCATTGGGATGTAAACATATTGGATCACACAACTGCCCCTTTTACCTAGATTTAAAAAAGATGGAAACTGATAACAACGCGTGCAGCCTCTTCTAGCTGCAACCAGAGCCCTCATTCCATGCAGAGAGGTTTCTGAGAGTATGATCCAGTATTGTGTTACACGCATTAGTCAGAGATTGCATAAGCTTGTGCCGATTTGTAGGCTGGATGGGTAAACTCGTAGTTCTGTTAGCGATTTATGCCCACTGGTTTTCTATAGAATTCATGTCAGGGGAATTTCGTCGGCCAAGGCAACTGGTTTACCTCTTGGTTTTGCAGAAAAGCAGTTATTGCATGGGCATGGTGTGGTCGGGCATTGTCATCTTGCAGGATGAAGTTGTCCTGGAAGTACTTTCTTGCAAATTGCAGCAAGTACTCTCTAAAATGTCCCTGTATTTTATCTGGTTGAAGTTTCCGTCAATTGCCACCAATATTGTTTTGCCTCCAGAGTGGAAACCGGCCCATACAGAGATACTGCCACGGCCACAAGTCACTGTAGTGTGACACAATCCTCGTGCAGTAACTCGTCTGGAAACCTACTGACTCTGATTCAGCCATCGCGGTGGGAGAATTCAAACCCTGCCTCATCTGTAAAAATCTACATGAACCCAGTGCTGTGCCTGGAACCGCAAATGGCATCTAGCCCACCATGTTGCTCTGTTCATAGAGTTAACCAGCTAAAAGTAGCCTTGCATTCACTAGAGTTCTAGAAACATGCTTTTGAATGGTAATTTGCCACTCATTTTGTACAGCAAGAGTTGTCTTTATCCGGTTGTTACGACATAACCTCAGAAGCAAGCGGTATTCCCTTCTGGTGGTGACTTAAGGACGTCCTGGCCGTGGTCTCTGTGTTAATGCACCAGTCGGGGCGTGTTTCTGTAAGATGTTAGAAACTGCTCCCTAGGACACATTCAGCTGTCTGGCAATAGCAGTTTGCTTCTGTCCATTCTGAAATAATGCAACAATAGTGTGGCAAGTCGCTGCCGTTAGTTCACATACCGTAAGGACAGCTAAGAGTCTGAAAAATATCAAACTCTTCTGACTGGACGCTGCCGAGATATAGAGACTTATTCTGCATAACTGCTGCCCTTTTATACGCATTCTGTAACCAGCCAAAGAGGACTGCTCAGAGAAACTGCCACATATTACGTAATATAACCGTGCTTCAGAGAAAGCAGCCTAATGAACAATAACCAACACACCTGGCTACACATATACCTGATCACAATTGTCGTTTGTGATCAATTTTTCTAAAAAGTTAATTTATTATCAACACTTTCCTTTTAAACTAAAATATTCCATATTAAATGTCAATATGTATGTGTACACTTCAAGTACACTATGACATCTCACCTCATTCATTTCAGCAATTTTTCCATTAGCTTATTACTGGTTACCCATTGGTATCGTTTCATTTCAATTAACAAAATTTCTTGAATTTTTGCTTTAATCTTCTGATATTCTATTGAATCCAATTAAATGATTGACGATACGAAAAGCATTTCTGTGTTAATAGCAAGTCTGAGCAGTTTCTCAAGCTTCTAAATGATTTGCTTGAGGCCAAATCTGTAACAGGAAGGTTAACAGAAGACGTATTCTGCCCTGATGAAATTAAACTAAATGACTCCTCACCCAGTGGCGGATTTGGGGGGGGG